TCCTGTGCCCCCCAGCCCCTGTCTTCCCTGCCCTTCTCTGGTCTCACAGATCCAGCCCTTCTTTAGCAGCTGTCTGAATGACTGCCGTAGACACTCCGTGAATGTTTCCTGTCCAGAAATTCCAGGTAGGAAGCAGATGTCTATCTTGGAACACAATTGGGGTGAGAATCAATGAAGGTCAACAACTTGAGCTGAACCCTTACCTGGTCCTAAGGGTGAGGGCAGAGTTTAACTTGGAGTTATTCAGGCCTGTGATGCAGGGCTTTAGAGAGACACTCCTGGGTTGGACTGCTGATTGTATTAGCTGTGTAGACTTGGGTAAAGTACAGTACTTAATCTTTCTGATCCTCAACTTTTGTGATTGAAAAAAATGGGATTGTTACTGTCATAGAGTTACAGTTATAGTCCATGTACAGAACAAAATCTTCATAAATTGTGAACCAAGAAGTAGAAACTCCTGCCCCCAGGTTCATAGATGAAGAAACTGAGACCCAGAGATGTGTAACTTGTCCAAGATCATACACCAAGGAAGTGGCAGAGGCTGTTCAGAAGCCTAACTTGTGGCTATAGTCAAAACTGAGCAGAAAGCAACAGGCATTGCACTGGTTTCGACATAAACCCCAGTCTGCCAAGTGAAGGGAGGGGCATTACTTGGTAGCCTAGAAACTCAGGTGTTTTGTTTAAATGGTTTCATCAAGTTTAACCTGTATCTAAAGTGGTTGAGCCCTAGCCAGTTTGGCTCAGTGGGTAGAGTCCTATGGACTGAAAGGTCCTGGGTTCAGTTCTGGTCAAGGGCATGTACCTTGGTTGCAGGCTTGATCCCTGGCCCTGGTCAGGGCTCACGTGGAAGGCCACCAATCGATGTGTCTCTCTCACATCAATGTTTCTCTCTGCCTTTCCCCCTCGCTTCCACTCCCTCTAAGAATCAATGGAAAAATATTCTTGGGTGAGGATAAATAAATAAATAAAGTGGTTGGTATAGGGCCATGGCTATTAGCAGGTCCTCAGTGAATGTCAGTAATGGTTTTGTGATTACTGTTAATAATTGAAATATTATTTTCCTTTGTTCTCATAGCAGACCCGATTGCAGGTAAGGCCACTGATCCTCCCCATAGTGTGCTGCAGGAGACCCAAGGGGACATTCCTCAGGGGCCATATGAGAAGTTCCTGACTGAACCTGGTGCCGGGCCAGGCTTTCAAAGTTGCCCAGGGGTGGGTGAGATCACCAGTATGTCATGGTGCAGGCCGGAGAGGCCAGCTTAGGGGCTGGAGGACCTCAGGGTTGGCATAACAGACCTCCCTGCCACATCACTCATGCTGTCCTGCTTGCCACAGAGTACATACCCCTGTGGGTGTATGGTTTCATCACGGGCATCTCCATCCTGATGGTGGGTTGCATCATCCTGCTGATCCTCTGCATGACCTGGAGGCTATCTGGTAAGGGGCAGACACTGTGGTATGGGTCCTGGGGTTTTCCCTCTGCTCTTCTCTTTCTTCCCATCTCCCCCTTTCCACTCCAGTTTCTGTAATGCTGTGCTCAGAAGGCACCCTTCAATCTCAAATTTGTACAGATTACACCTCTGTTATCAATTACAGCTTGCAGTAAGGTTGACCTTGCTGGGCTCAAATAACAGCTCCATCACTTACCACCTGGGAAAATTAGTTCATTCTCTAAGCCTCAGGTTCCTTTTTTACCAAAATGGAAATTATAATGATACCCACATCATCAAACAATTATAAAGATTACATGAGATAATGCATATGGATTCTTAGCACAGTTTGGCACATATTTGCTTATTATATGTTAGCCACAATTATATTTATTGCCACTGAAATTAATATTAAAATCAACAGGTTGGGGCCGTGGCCAGGTAGCTCATTTGGATAGAGCATCATTCTGATATGCCAAGGTTCTGGGTTCAATCCCTGATCAAGACACATACAAGAATCAACCAGTGGGTACATAAATGAGTGGAAGAACAAGTCAATCTCTCTTTCTCTCTCCCCCTACCTTCCTCTCTCTAAAATCAATTTAAAAAAATCAACAGGTTGGAAGGAACTAGAGTGGAGTTTTCCTGCATGAGACATGATCAGCTAGGCAGGTGGAGCAACCTGAGCTACCCCATCCTGCAGCAGTCCCCAGACTGTAGTCCTGAGGTCAGGGAGAGTAGGATGACAAAGGACAGCATGTTATAGGGAAAGCTCTGGGGAAACAGAGCACAGGGCTGTGTACCCCAGTTCATTGATTTGCAGTCATAGGCAAGTTGCTTAATAAACCATAGATTTGGTTGTCTTTTTTGGAAAATAGAGTCATAATGCCTCCCTCTCACAGCTGTGGATGGGTTAAATGATACAGCAGGGAAGGTGCTTTTTGGTGGGTATTAATAAATATTGGTTCCCCCTTCACACTGCAGCCCTCTGGCCAGATTCTAAATAGAGAACATGGATTTTCAGGTTAGGGGACTTGGCCTTTCCCTGCCCCTCCACAATCCTGGACTCCTTCATTGATCTGGGAGGCCATATTCACACTTACAAGGCTCATCAGGATTAGGTATTTAATCAGTATTAATTGTGTGGTGGAAAGAACACCAAACCAGACACCAAAAGACCTATGGAGAGGGTCCTCCGTAGGATTACTGGCAGTAAAATGAGTTAAATCTCTGCAAATGCTTTGTAAACCATAAAGCTCTCTATAGATGTCAGGGTGACTTCTTGTTTCATTACTGCTTTTGCACTTCTGACCTTTCCTGAAGTGCCACATGCAGGCTAAAGGAAAGGATAGGAAAGAAACCTCATCATTTGACTTGTCTTTTGATAGTTCTGAGAAGAGGCCCAAAGCGTGGGGATTAAAATGAAGGCTCTATGGTAAAGGTCTTCTTTGACCATCTGTGGGTTCTCTTTCTCCCATCAGTATCACCAAGGAGTTGACTTCTGCACTAAGTTTCCTTCATTGCATCTCTGAGGGGGGCAATTGCTCAAGTATGTTGATTTCCTTTCCTCACCTCAAAAATACTAGGAGAAAATGTAAATGCACCTGTTGGAGGCTACTTTTGGATATATATTGTAAGATTTATGCTTCCTGCAAAGACACCTCTGGGGAAGGGCTTTTTCTCAAGTGAGGAGTCTCCTTGGGAGTGGCCAAACTGGGAAGAGTACAACCAGGACTGTAATGAGGTACCTCAGTCACCATTTTAGGGGTTCTGGCTGGGTCCATTCCACAGAATACTTGTGACTTCAGCTGACTGAGTATGTGTCGGGCACATAGCAATCTCATTTAATCACCCACCACAGACCCATTTTATAGAGGAAGAAACTGAGTTTCTCAGGTGTTAATAACTTTCCCATATCTCACAGCTTGTCATGGCTGACTGAGATTCACATCTGAGTAACTCCACACAGCACGATCTCCCTGCCTCTGGCTGCCTTCCCTTATAAGTTGCCCTTTGTTAGGGGTGGGGAAGCATTCCTCTGTCAGATGCCTCTGTGAGTTAGTCCCTAGTTTTTCAAAAGAACTTTGATGTTTTTCATTTCAGGGTCTCATCATGAAAAATATGGCAGTGACACCAGAGACACAGGTCAGTATTTCCTGGTGGGGGTACGCTGGGTTTAGCGTATGTTTATTTTTATTTTTTAATATGTTTTTATTGATTTCAGAGAGGAAGAGAGAGATAGAAGCATCAATGATGAGAGAGAATCATTGATCAGTTGCTTCCTGCATGCCCCTTACAACTATTGAGGCACACCAGCCAGGCTTACTTTTTTTAAAATATATTTTTTATTGATTTCAGAGAGGAAGGGAGAGGGATAGATAGATAGAAACATCAATGATGAGAGAGGTTTATGTTTATTTTTAAAGATGTGTTGGAGGGTTCTCCTGAGATAATGGGTGGGTCACCTTCTGCAGGTTAACTCCTGAAGACCTCATCCCCAAAGAGGCCACCTTAAATGGCAAGGCTGGGGCAAAGTTTTCTAAATCACTTGGACAAGGAAAGGAGGTAAGGTACCAACCATATTTTGTGTAAAAAGGTCATCCCTGGCTCAGCTGTGGTGGCTCAGTGGATTGAGTGTCGTCCAATGGACCAAGAGGTTCCGAGTTCGATTCCTAGTCAGGGCACATGCCGGGGTTATGGTCTCAATCATAGGGGATGTGCAGGAGGCAGCCAATCAGTGAGTCTCATCATTGATTTTTCTATCTCTTTCTCCCTGTCCCTTCCTCTCTGAAATCAATAAAAATTTAATTTTTTAAAAAAGAGGTCATACCTGTTCTATAGTCAGATCTTTGTTTCTATTTTTTTTCTTTTTGATGAACTTTGTTTGGCTGAAGGCCAGATAGAAATGTGAGAGATTCTTTTTTCCAGAAGGTACCAGACTGTGATTTTTTTCATGAGCCAAAATAGGTAAAACAGCAACATCTGGCTTACTCCTAGGCCTCGGTTGCATTTTTTAATCTAGGGAGCCAAGCTCTGCCTGGTCTGGTTCCCTCCCCTTGGCCTGTGGTGTAGGGTCAGCACAGACACACATCTGAACCTGTGAGTTTGGCTTGCCTTGTTTCCCCCAGATGTCCTGCCCACCACTGGTCTGATGCCCCCTCCCCTGAAGCCCAGGAAGGTTTGGATTGTCTACTCCGCCGACCACCCTCTCTTCGTGGATGTGGTCCTAAAGTTCGCCCAGTTCCTGCTCACTGTCTGTGGCACTGAAGTGACCCTCGACCTGCTGGAGGAGCAGATCATCTCAGAGATGGGAGTCATGACCTGGGTGGGCCGGCAGAAGCAGGAGATGGTAGAGAGCAATTCCAAGATCATCATCCTGTGTTCCCGAGGTACCCGAGCCAAGTGGCAGGCCATACTTGGCTGGGAAGAGCCTGTTGTCCAGCTTCGTTGTGACCACCAGCAGCTTGCTGGGGACCTTTTCACAGCAGCCATGAATATGATCCTGCCAGATTTCAAGAAGCCAGCCTGCTTTGGCACCTACATCGTATGCTACTTTAGTGACATCAGCAGTGAGAGTGATATCCCGGACCTCTTCAACATCACTTCTAGGTACCCACTCATGGACAGATTTGAGGAGGTTTACTTCCGGATTCAGGACCTGGAGATGTATGAACCTGGCCGGATGCACCGCGTTGGGGAGCTCACAGGGGAGAATTACCTGCAGAGTCCCAGTGGCTGGCAGCTCAAGGAAGCTGTGGAGAGGTTCCGAGAGTGGCAGGCTCAGTGCCCTGATTGGTTTGAGCGTGAGAACCTCTGCTCAGCAGATAACCAGGAACTTCCGTCCCTAAATGAAGAGGTGTCTGCAGAGTGGCTACTGCCACCTGGAAGAGGGATTGTGAAACAGGAGCCCCTGGTGCAGGAACCTGCTGCTGAGGGCCACCTGGAGGTGGCACTGCTCATCACTGAGGAAGGCAGAGGAGTGGCCAGGCTGCAACCTAAGCTTCAGCCCCAGGGGCAGCTGGTGGCCCACACCCTTCAAACCATGGTGCTCCCCCTGAAAGTTGTCCCTCCCACTCAAGCTGTGGAACCTGCCCCTCCTGCTATTAGGAGCAGCACAGCCAGTCAGTTGGCCATTGTGGAAGGAAATGAGGCCTACCCACTGCTGGAGTGCTGTAACCCTCAGCAGAACAGTGTCCTCTTCCTCCCTATGGACTCAGAGGACCCACCTCTCTGCAGCACCTCTATGGCATTACCAGACCACCTCTCAGAGGATGTAAGGGGGCAGCTTGAAGGCTTGATGCTCTCACTCTCCCAGAAGAGTCTGAGCTGCCAGACCCCAGAGGGGTGGGAGAGACCTGGGGAGGGGCAGCGGGAGTCAGTGCAGTCTGACCAGGGCTACATCTCCAGGAGCTCCCCGCAACCCCCTGATGGACTGGTGGAAACGGAGAAAGAGAAAGCAAAGCAGAACCTGGGAAAGTCTGCCAAGCAACTCTCCTGTGAGGCCCTTGAGAGCCTGAGAAGCCTCCAGCGACAACTTTTCTTCCAAGAGCTTCAGAATAACTCTGGCTGGGACAGTATGGAGCCAGAGAGGCCAGTTACATAGCACCTCCCAGGCAAGAGCATTGAGAGAAGGGAGTGTATGTGTGTCTCTATATGTATGTATATTCATATGTGAAATGATACCTTTAAAATATAGACATCTTGATTTTGATCCCCCTTAATTTTTCTTTCTGGGACCATCTGATCATCTTCCATCCCCACAAAAATCTACAGCCCATTTCAGGAGCTAGTGGCAGTGTTCTTGAGTCTCCGTTATTCATTCATTTATTCAACATTTATTTTGTACCCACTATGTGCCAGGGACCTGAGATACAAAGATAAGTTGCACCTGTCATTGGGCCTGGTCACTAAGGAAATTAACATCTAGTGAGAGGAACAGATTAGCAAGTAGAGGATGGTCATGCAAGATGGAAAGGCTGAATAGAGGCCTGCCCAGGACTAGGAAAACACATAGAAGGAGTACCTGGCCCAGGGAGAAATCCTGGAGTGGGTGATATATGAGCTGAAGGGGAAGCTAGTTTCCTATGCCAAGAGATTGTGATTGGAGAAGGCACAAGTCCTGAAGAAGGAAAAGGCTAGGAGATGAGTATGAGCCAGACCCATCAGTACATTGCTAGTTGAGCCTGGAGAGGAAGGAGGGAGGCATGAGAGATGTGGTGGTGGGTTATCCAGAGTCCAGGCCTGGAGTTGGGACATCAGCCTGAAGGCCTGGGACTCCTTGGATGTGATAAGCTGTTGCCCTGCAGAGGAGGCTGAGAGCCAAACATATTTGGAAGCCATCTCAGATCATTTTGGAAAGAGACCAGATAGACAGCTGATGTGAAACTGAACAGCATTCATCAGGGAGGAAAGTCTGAAGTCCTGAGCTCTTAGTGGGAGAGCTACATCAAAGAATGCTTCAGGGCTGCTAACTGGGAGCCCTCAGCTCCCCAGTGGGGTCTAACAGCAAAATGAATTGAATGTGAGATATGGAGTGTTCATGGCAGAGTGGGAGTGGGAGGTCGCTGAGCAGATCCTTTTTGGGGAGAGGGAAGTGTGCCACTCTGTTCTTAAAGGTCTATGTTCAAAGAAAATATTTAAGGAGAGACACTAAGGCCCAGAGTTTGAAGTTTTTCCTGGAAGGGCATACTTGGATGCAGTCTGCCCCTGTCATAGCAGCCTGAACAGACTATAAAATAGTCTGGGAGTAAGAAAAAAAAATGGGAGAAAAGGCACAGCCCTCCCAGTCTCTTGGGTTTCATTTCTTCAGTAATTCTGGAGATGGGCATCATTGTGTCCAGATGCCTACCAAGCTCTCTGTGAATAAGCACTTACTAAATGTCCAGCATGTGAAATACCATGGTGGACTCTTCTCTGGCTGGAGTCAGGGTTCTATCTGGCAGCAGAATGGTCCAACCAGTGTAGTCCTTGTGCCCGGAAGCACACTTCCATTTGGATTGTGTTCCTCACAAATCTTGAATTCTAGCTTTGCTGGCCTTTGAGGCCAGATATTTTTAATTGGCATTGTCCACTCTGTCTCTATGTCCAGGACTGCTGCTTCCCCCCCCCCCAATAGCTTAATTATTGCGCTATAATTCATATACCATTGACCATGTGCAGTTCAATGGCTTTTAGGATTTCAGAGTTCAGCAATCAATATAATTTTAGAACATTTTCTTACTCCCAAAAGAAACAGCACCCCTTAATCATTACCCCCAAACCCTTTAACCATCCTGTCCCTAGGCAACCATTAATGTTTCTGTCAGTGGATTTGTCTATTGTGGACATGTCATATATAAATGGAATCATAAAGTTCCCCAGGCTTCTTGACCCTCTCTCTCTCTCTTTTTTTTTTTGTTAATCCCCACCTGATGATATTTTTCCACTGATTTTTAGAGAGAGTGGACAGGAGGGGGAGAGACAGAGAAATACATCCATTGGTTGCCTTCTATATGTGCCCTGACAAGGGCCGGGGTTAGAACCTGCAACCGAAGTACATGCCCTTGACCAGAATCAAACCTGGGACTCAGTCCGCAGGCCTATACGCCAAACTAGCTTAGGGCGACCCTTTCTTTAATGTCATTCTTTTGTTGCTTCCACATTCCCTCCCCAATCCCTAGAGCTCCCAAATCTCACACTGGTCATCATAGTGCTGGAAATTCTGTCAATCTGAGTGTGGTGTTTGCTGTCAGCCAAATGCCAAGTGCTTCAAGAATATTTACAAAGCAAGCCAGACCTTTCTTTTTGCATTATTTTGAACCATCTACTTATATAAAAACCCCGGGTGGTGTAACATCACGACCAGTCTGGCCACCAAGCGGAAGGAAGTCAATCCTGCAGGGGTTGTATTGGAAATGGCTGCACCCTCCCCCGAGCTTTTTCCCCAGAGCTGTTCCAGTGAGGGCAGGGTTTGAGGCAGGAACCCGCCCTCGGAGCGTGGTGGCATATCTATAAGGTGTGCCGTGCCAGGATGGCCAAGGGTGAACCTGAATGGGGGCAGCTGAAAGGCTTAGAAAAGACAGACACGAGAATGAAAGCCAGGTCTCAGTGGGATGCTGCTTCTCTGAGAGACAGCGACCATGCCCACAGCTGTGTCTTTATTTTATAGCAGATGCCACAAGGCAAAGTAAGGTCGTGACCAAGATGTTTACAACATTCTGGATTTCAATCCTCCCCACAATAAAGTTTTAATCTACTTATATAAAAAACCTGGGTGTAACATCATGTCCAGGAGCACATTCAACCAGAAGGAAGTCAGTCCTGCAGCGGTTGTCTTGGAAACAGCTGCGCCCTCCCCCAGCTGTTTCCTGGAGGGCAAGGTTCAGGCAGGAACGTGCCCTCAGGGCAAGGTTTCAGCCTGGAACCCACCCTCAGCAGAGTAGGGAAGTGAAATGATTTGTAATTGATCTATTATTGAAGCTAATTTTGGAACTACTATCTCTATAGATCAGTGGTTCTCACCCTTGGCTGTACATTAGAATCACCTGGAAATCTTTTTAAAATCCTGATTTCTGGGCCTCATCCTCCAGAAATTCTGTTTCTTTGTTACTAATGTTGTGGCCCCATAACAAAGAAATAATTTCCGGAGGATGAGGTCCAGGAATCAGGATTTAAAAAGATTCCCAGGTGATTCTAATGTGCAGCCAAGGTTGAGAACCACTGCTATACATAATATTAAAAATATATCTAAACGTGCAATTCTTTGTCCAAAAAATGAGCATGTTCAAAAATTAAATGAAGAAAATTTGGATATACTCGATGGAGATTTTCACACATATTTGAGTGAAGATTCCATTGATTCCACAGATGTTGCTGAAAAGGAAAATTTTCCCATCGAATTTCTTAATAGTATTACTCCTTCGGGAATGCCATGTCATAAATTAAAATTGAAAGTGGGTGCAATCATCATGCTATTGAGAAATCTCAATAGTAAATTGGGTCTTTGTAATGGTACCAGATTGATTATCAAAAGATTACGATCTAACATTATCGAAGCTGAAGTATTAACAGGATCTGCAGAGGGAGAGCTTGTTCTGATTCCAAGAATTAATTTGTCCCCATCTGACACTGGCCTCCCATTTAAATTGATTTGACAACAGTTTCCCATGATGCAGGCATTTGCGATGACTATTAATAAATTACAAGGACAAACTCTAGACAAAATAGGCATATTCCTACCTGAATCCATTTTTGCACATGGTCAGTTATATGTTGCTTTCTCTCGAGTTTAAAGAGCATGTGACGTTACAGTTAAAGTTCTAAATACTTCATCACAAGGGAAATTAGTAAAGCACTCTGAAAGTGTTTTCACTCTTAATGTGGTATACAGAGAGATATTAGAATAAGTTTAATCACTTTATCAGTCATTGTTTGCATCACTGTTGTTTTTATATCATGTTTTTGTTGTTTTCAAATCACGTTTCTGTTGTTTTCATATCATGTTTTTGTCGTTTTTATATCATACCTCTGTTATTGTTCTATCCTTTTGTTGCTGTTTATTTATTAATAAATTTATATATTATTTTCATATACATTTTACTAATTTCCTTTCATCCCTCACACTTCTATTATAGAGAAAGGGCAAATAGGAATATTAAAATATCTCTGCTAATTAATTCCCTTTTTTAAAAAAATATATGCTATTGATTCTTTACAGAAAGCAAGGGAGAGGGATAGAGAGTTAGAAACATCGATAAGAGAGAAACATCTATCAGCTGCCTCCTGCACAGTCCCCACTGGGGATGTGCCCACAACCAAGGTACATGCCCTTGACCAGAATCGAACCTGGGACCCTTGGGTCCACATGCCGATGCTCTATCCACTGAGCCAAACCAGTTAGGGCAATTAATTTCCTTTTAATGTGCATGAATTTTGTGCACTGGGCTACTAGTCCTATATAATAAAGAGCTAATATGCAAATGATCATCATTCTCTCACGCTGGAACTGCTCAGACACTCAACACAGGAAAGAGAAATGGAGACCAGCCAGGCATAAATAAACTGGGGAGAGAGGAATGGGGACCAGCCAGGCACAAATGAGCTCGAGAGAGAGGAATGGGGACCAGCCAGGCTGCGGCCTGGGAGAGGGACAAGCCACCCGCCCTGTGGTTCTGGGTGCCAGTGCCTGCGCCTGCGGCCTGGGAGAGGGACAAGCCACCTGCCCCATGGTCCTGGGCGCCTGTGGCTGCGGTCTGGGCAGAGCTACCCACACATGGTCCCCTGAGGTGTGGCTGGCTGGGGTCCTGAGTGCCAGTAACCGGCCAGAGGAGGGAATCCTGCATCCTGGGTGTGGGGTGAGGCAGAAGCAGATAGGGGTGATCAGGCCAGCAGGGGAGCAGTTAGGGGAGATCAGGCTGGTAGGGGAGCAGTTAGGGGCAATCAGGCAGGTGAGTGGTTAGAAGCCAGTGGTCCCAGATTGTGAGAGGCAGTCAGACATCCCCCGAAGGATCCTAGATTGAAGAGAGTGCAGGCTGTGCTGAGGAACCTCCCCCCACCCCCCCGTGCACAAATTTCGTGCACCAGGCCTCTAGTCGCTAAATAAAACCCTGCTGTGGCCAGTAGAGCCCCTCCAAGAACAGATGTCCTCCAAGCTATGACTCTCCCACCTCTCTGGCTCTGCTCCTAAATAGACTGTATCAGAGGTGGCTCAAGGTGGGCAGAAGTCAACCTTGT